GGAATGCCACAAAGACGTGGAACACCAAGTTTGTGAATCGTTGTCTCTGACTGTTGCCCGGAGGGGCAGCTACGAAGATCCCCGAGAAAATGTCGTCGGTGGGATTTGTTTCCGGGTACCGACTATGTCACGAGCATAAGCAACCTCGAATAACTTTTGTCTGTGAAATGGGCAGTTTTGCGCAACTCTCTCTCGCATGAATTTTGATTTTGGCCGCCTGCAGTGTAGCCTAATCACACGGAAATTGTGGGCGATCCGTCTGTGTTACTGGGTCGATGCTCCTCGCTACGTAATTTTCTGCAGAGACGCGCCTCTCGCCCTCAACCCCATGCTCGTACGTCGGTCACGGAACGACGTCTTCTAGCGAAGGTCCGACTGTGAGACGTTGGACCGCGACTTTCGTAAAGACTGCTGTCTCCCGCGATGTCTAGCAGGAATCGACGTTTCAGACGTGCTTGCTGCGTCCGTCTTTAAGACCCTGATAATGGACGCAGTAAACACCTCCGAAACGTCGATTTCTGCACGGCTCAACATCCCAGAAGACAGACAGCCGCTGCCTTGGGTTCGGCAGACCGAGCTGTGGGCGGGCGGGCGAGTGGGAGACGCATCTTTGCGTCGAAATGTCGCTTTGTGCTGTGGGCCTTCAGAACCGGTTTCATAGGCTCCCGAGGTGAGCCGGATGGTTTCCTCGCGAGGCATCTTCGGTTCGCGGCCCGTCTGCCTTCACCGAGCGTGTTGGAGCGAAACGGGCTCAAGCCCAGTCGCCCAGAGACAGGTCCTGTTGTGAAGGATTCGCTGGATGTTTATTGCGACGAATTTATTATAAAAAAACTTTGACATTTTCGACAGCTTTGAAACTGTAAAATCTTTAGTGACTGGCTTTACGTCTCACAGTTGCGTATTCGCAATAAAATTAAGGTTAGTGGTAGTAGTTTTAAGTAAATATGAATAATACACCCCCTAACATATAACACGTGGAGCAGTTGGTACTACTGAAACACACCCCTTTTCCCAGTTTTTTTTTTCAGGCAAATTCTGAAAGTCTGTCACCTTTTCGCCGTTCACGTCTTCTGACCTCGTTCTCAGCTTTTCTGGGCGCCTGCACGTGCCTCTGACCACCCCTGACTAGATGGCATGAACTGCGCATGTGCGTGTTTTGAAAATAAGACGAGCTGTCGGACGCTGTTCGAGTCTCCCTCACGCTTGAGTTCTCTTTTCAGTCCGTGACGTACGAAAGCTTTGTGTTGTGAGGCGGAAACAAGACATTTTCGTCGGCCAGGTTGTACGTGCGATCTGTTAATGCTCTCTTGTCGGTGTAAAGTCGATCTGCCGATGTTTTCGAGACAATAAACCGCAGCTTTGCCTCCTGAAGAAGAATTTTTCCAGCTACCCAAATATGTTACTACTATTAAACAAAGTGTTCGAACACGCGCGTTCATACGAATATGTTCTGTAGAAGTTCTTTCGTGATGAATCTGTGTGGTCTTGCGGGGTCTTCTCTGGGTGTTCCGTACAGCCGACTGTTGATTGCGTATAAAGCAGGGCTGAGGTCGCATCTGACGTTGAACCACCAGTCGCAGACGAACACTGCCTGCGAGAACTGCGTGCCGTTGGGACAGAGGAACGTCGCCTGGCGACCGTCGATGTCGCAGTAGTGCCATCCTTGGCATCGCGTCTCCATGTCGGCGAAGAAGCCCGGGTACGGCTGGGAGTCGCAGTAGAAGTTCGTATATGGAACGGCTGCCAGCACCGGGTAATCCGTGCCGGGGCGACCTGAGGGAACAGAACACGTCAGTAAATTCTGTCGAAGGTGCAGAACTGGCTTAAGACGCACTTGACTTCGTAGGGTTTACGCGGTTTTAAAAGCCGTGGATATTCGAAGCCCGTGGCCAGCAGATCCGCGGTTTCAGAGGGATTATCGTAGCCCTTCCCGGGAAGATTGGCGTCTTCTGGGTTGTAGCTCTGTCGTCGCCGTGAAGTGGACGCAGCGAGGACCTCTGCTACGACCCGGAAGACAGCCATCATCGGACTCCCCGGCGTCAGAACCTCATGTGCACTTCCGTTCAGACGAGAGTTTCTTTTTACTTCGTGGAGATGTCACTTATATCTGTGTTGCATTCAGTACGCGAAGCTTATGACCTTGTGGCTCCTTACAGCAAATAGCGTTCGCCTCTCAGTTGCATGAGGTGCGGCGGCACTTGGGTAATCAAAGAGAGATGTTTGTTTGCGTCGTCGTCCTGTCACATTGCTGACATGTCAATACGAAACCAACAGCAAGCCTTGTTCTTACTTCGTGAGTCCCGGTGACCGAACGATCCAGGGCGCTGCGTTTTTCCGCTATCCTCTGTTTCGGCTGAAGTTCACACTAATAATTATTTAATTTGTTTTTGTGTTTGGGTGTAGAATTCTTCGAGCTCTCTGGGCAGAACATGGTTAATATCACAGCAGTGGAGCCATTTTAATGGTTTCTGCGTAATATTTGGGAGGAACCAGGTTACTGTTTGTCTTACCTGGTATGGATTTCCCCAGCTCGAGGTACTCCTTTACGGACGGGCTGAGGAAGCCGGGTGGCACCGTGCTGGGCTCGGTCGCCTCGACGTTTCGGTCCTCCAGACTCTCCTCGAGGTCAGCAGGCGCTCGCGTCTTCTTCACGCTCACCTTCAGTCCACCTGAAACACGCGAAAGCTCGTCACGACGTTCGTGCACTGAATATTTCGCCGAAGATTTGCGGTGAATTCGTAGGCCCAGTCGTGTCGAATTACCCCTAAACTAAGGAGCCTGGAGGCTCGTCTAGATAATGAAGACTTCAGTCCGTACCGCAAAGAAAACAACGCGCCACCATTACAGAGGTCAGAGGTCAAATAGTCGCTGTTCATAATTGGTAAATGAAGAGTTACTTGCTTTTTATTTAAAAGGGTGGGACGCATGTGAGGTTTGAAGGGTTGATTCTGATGCGCATTGCACAAACGTCAGAATTTGTTGTGGAGACTTCCAGAAGATGCAAAATTTTGCGATGTGTGCAGGGAAGCTCGGTGGCCGCGTAGTCATGTAACTTTGGTCACGAAAGTTTCAGATTCGCCGTATAAAACAATTGGCGATCCTTGACCCAATCGACTGTGTTGTTTTTGCCCAATAAAACTTGATAAAGTCACGTTAAACATTTTCGATCGATACGCGGAAAGTATTGATGCAAGCGTTTGAGAATTTTTTATGTTGGTTGTGTAACGACGTCGAGTTTATCCGACAAACAGGTGGCTAAAATCGTAATTAATAACGTTGTTAACGTGTACTTTGCCGTACGTAGTGTGACGTAAGAAGACGTCGCCGACTGGTGGCAAGCCGTTTCGAATCTGCTTCCTGATAGAGGCAGCAATAGCGGCTCCGAAACGTCGGTAAACTTCTACCAGGCTGCACGGCGCAACATCCCAGAAGATAAGTAAGCCAAGGCGACGTCGTTTTCTTCAGGCACTTTCTTGCAAGCTTTACTCGTGACGATGTGGGAATTTCTAGGGTGGCAGTTGTGTTGTGTTCTCCCACGATACAAGGACGATTATGCGTTTCAGAATACCAGAAAACAATTCTTGTTCGCTCAGTTGTGGGTGTATTACCGTCAGAATTAGATCGATTTCATTTGACTGTGTAATAAAATCCCTCCCCCCTAACATGTTATGCAACGTGCGAGGTGATTTCGTCGGAATATTTGTCAACTTCCGGAATCACATGTTCGAGCCCTCGGGGGTTTACGACGTGCTGAAGAGTGAAAGTCCGGCCGCCCAACACCGTCCCTCGCCTCAGACTTGGCTACGACGTTAACGCCGTTTAGGGTAACAATTTCTTATCGTTGCGAAG